TCTCTCTCTCTCTCTCTCTCTCTCTCTCTCTCTCTCTCTCTCTCTCTCTCTCTCTCTCTCTCTCTCTCTCTCTCTCTCTCTCTCTCTTGCGGCTCCATGACTCCCTGGCTTCCTATCTATCGCACACACGCATTTCCACGACTCCCTGGTTCCACGCTTCTCCACCAACCCGTCCATCCATCCATCCATCCATCCATGCATGCATTGATACATAAATCATTTCAATCCACCCATTGTGTGTGTGTGTACGTGTTTGGCATTTGGTACAGATGGGGATATCTATCGCGTGCTGGACTTAACGACAAGAGTCACCTTACACGTCAGATTGAGAAGTAAGTCAATCTCAAAGAAGGACTTCACGCCAACAGCCATGCCTGATTTCCTATGCCTTGAATGATGAACCCACCTTTCGCTTGCCAAACTCATCTAGGTTGATGGTGTCATTGACCAAACAGTTGTTAACCGCCCCCCCCAATCCTACCCTTCTGTTCTGTATGCTACCGCTGGTCATCATTGCTATATCTAGAATCAAAGTTGCTCCCAAATACAGCTACTATATTGACCAGGCATTCTATTCGGGTGGCGATGGCAGTGATGCATTTATATGTCACATACTGTGACACTTCGTGCTTGCCTCGATCGATAGTCTTCATCTCATTTCATTTGAGTAAAGAAGGGCAGTGGAAACTATTTCTGATCGTCGATGTGCTGATCTGGCTTGTGAAGGGAGATCCGTAAAATCAAAACCGAAGTAGACAAAGCGGGAAAAGTTCGAAAAACTGAACCAGAACAGTAGTGTGCTGATCTAACAATTTCTGAGCTGAGTAACCCCTCCACCCCCCCCTTCCCCCTCTCCCTTAACCAAGGCTATTGACCTGTTGCTGTTACCGTCCATCAGAAAATTCATCATTTTTTTATTTTTTATTTAAACGGGCCCAGTGCCCAAGGCTGATATTGATATTTGAGAAAATTGAGACCGGGGTCCTCACAGTCTACCCGGAGTAACCGGACAGAACATGCTGACAACCGGGCCCACCGTACCTCAGATGATGATGATGATGATGATGATAATGAGATGACGATAATGCTAACAAGAATGATGAGCAACTGATTGGAGATAATTACTAAATACCTAAGCTGCCCCGGCGCCCGGCCGGGCGGACCCCGGCCGGTTGGGCCCGGGGGGGTCCGCCCAGGTGAACCGGGCGACGCAAAAACAGGGCCAGGAATTTTTATTTTTCTTTCTGATGGTGGGGCTGTGCTGCGCTGCACTAGAGGACCCCGAATCCGCAATAAAAAAAACTGAAATTGGGGGTTGGTTGTGGGGG